AGCTGCGGCTACACCGGGGTGCTGCCCTGGAGAGTGTGCGCGCCATCTTCCCCGGCGCTGCGCTTCTGCCTGCCCCCGTGGGCCGAGGGTCCGCCATCTTGGGTCTATGCCAGAGAGGCCCGGGGCTGGTGGTGGGGCAGGAAGCCGGCGGTGCGGTGGCACCGGCCCTCAGCTCTCCTCCTGGCTCCTGAGCTGCTCCAGCTTCTCCTCAACTTGCTCCCAGCATGGGGCAGCCCCCTGCTGCTAGTGGCCCCCCTTGGGGGCTGGGCTTATGTCCCCTCCCCCACCGCACACCCATCAGCGGTGTGGGGGTGGGAAGTTGGTTTTTGTACACTTAAAGCAGAAGTGTTGTCAGAGAAAAGAGCGCCCAGGAAACAACTTTGAGAACTGTGGTCGTGCTGTTTTTCCTTGACTGAGAGTAGACTCTGGTGCAGCTGGGGTGGGCTTGTGTGTTTGGGGGTGGCCTCTGTTATGCCCAGATTTCGAGTTTCCCAAAGACCACGAAGGAGCCGATTCCCATGCAAAGCACAGGAGGGTCTTTATTGCAAGCTCATTGCAAGCTCGAGCCTGGGCTCCCAACCTGCACCCCCCCCCGCCCCCCCCGCCCCCCCGCGGTGGAAGTTGAGAGCCCTGAGCTCAGGGAAGGCAGGGTTTTTATTACAGAGGAGGGGAGTTTCAGGTCAGCAGTACGTTGATTGGTTGACATTGAACAAAGTTGTCTTGTTTTAACCCGGTTGGTCTATGCATGTAAGATGTGACCTTCGCTACTTGCTACTGGGCCCTATACCTTAGGACATCTGGTTTTCTCGTGATATGTACTGGTTGCTTGCTAATTGGCTGTTGCTATGGGATGAGTAAGATTAGTACATTAACAGTTAAACTTGGCCTTGGTGCCTTGTTGATAACCGAAACTTAGGCCTGGCTGCTTCAGAAGCACTCTGAAGCCTGTCATGGCGTCAGTTTGGTCTTTCAGCCAACAGGTGAGGGTGTCACCAGCTGTCCCCACGACAGCTTCCGTGTTAACAGAAATAGACGTTTCTTCCATGACAGATGCCCTCTCCTCTCCACCCACCTTGGCAGTGGGGAGGGGTGAAGCCTGACAGTTTGCATCCTCAGTGTCTCTCATGTCAGGTGACTCAAGGTTCATGGTTCTGGCCCCTCACCTTGTCCATCCCCTTCTTCCCAAATTGCATCATGGGGCTTTGCTTTAAGATCAGGGACTGGCTGGGAGAGGGTTCTAGGTCCTCTCTGGCCTCTGTTGACGGTGTCAGGGCTCCTGGAATGGAGAACAGAGAGCAGCTGTGCTGCTTGAAGAACTGGCCAGCTCCAGAGGGCCTATTTGCCCATCCTCAGGCTTTGGAAATTTTACCAGGCCTGGGGGTGGGGCTGTGGCCTCAGACTCATGTCTGGCACTTTCCTCCAAGGCAGTCCACAGCACCGTAAGAAGCTCATTGTCAGAAATCTCAGGTTTTCCCTCTGGTGTCTGCCTGGGCTGTGTTCAAAAAAGCTGCCAGCCTCCTCCGACTGCCTCTGTGCTTCCCATGCTCAGGGGGCGCAGCAGTGTGGGGCAGGCAGGGGTAAGGACCCCATGAACAACCTCCTCCTCTTCGTCCCTTTTCTTTTTCCACTTCTGCTGGGGTTGAGGGGATCAGCTTTCTACTTCCTCTTCCTTTACCACACGCACCCCTCCGTGGATCTTCCCCCCCTAACTATTTGCATAGGCCTCCAAACTCAGTCTCAATGAGCTGAGCTGATTTTGCTAAACTGGAAGGAACTCCACATGCAGGTGGCAAGACTCGGTCCCCGAAACATTTCTGGAGCTAAAGGAATATAGGACGTTCTCTTGTATTTCCACAAAGCCTGACTTCCAATACTGTTAATAAACATTTCCAAAGATCCTTTTTCTAGTTACACACGTGGACCTTTTCCAATCCCCTCTGAGAAAACAACAGGAAAGGCCACTTTGAAAAGTGCCAGGAAGTATGGAGCTGTGAGGACTCAATCTAATGGGCTTAGAGGCCAGAGATGTTCCCAAGGAAGTGGGGTGAGGTTGACCCCGAGGAGGAGTGGACAGGGCCCAGAGGGGAGGAAGGACTGGTGCAAAGGCCCTGTGGTGGGAGCTGAGCAAGGTGCTAGGCGCGATGAAGGGCTGAGGGCGTGCAGATGGCGGGGTGGGCACTGTCGGCGGTGAGGGACTCAGGCACACAGCCAGGGCGGTGAGGGACTCAGGCTCACAGCCAGGTAGTGTCCTGTCCACGGCCGAGCCCAACTGAATTTGCCTTTTACACCTGAAACCTGTCCACTGTCTCCCTCACCCACAAAGCCCCACTGATGTTCCCTGAGAAGTACACGGGGTGTCTTCAGGCTTCTTGGACTGCCTCCTTGTGTGGCTTCATTGATGTGGGCCTCTTTTGTCTTGTCTTCCTCTTTTTTTTTTTATAAGTCCCTTTTTCTTTTTTAAAGATTTTTTTATTTATACAAGAACTGGGGTACAGGCCCGAGGTGTGGGAATGAGAGGATTCACTAGAGACAAAGTGGGGAGCAGAACAGTTGGATCAATTGAAGCACACTGCTGAGGGGCGCAGCGGTGGGTCAGGAGAGGTCTGCTGCGCCCTGTGGGTCAGCTCCCTGGCTGGGGATCGAACTCGTGCTGCAGTGGCTGCAGAGAGCTTCATGGTACTGAGCTTTAACCCGTTGTGCCACTCGGGAGGTCCCTATAACTCCCTTTTTCAAAATTTTGATTTCACTAGACTTAACCCAAAAGATGAATCTGAGCTTACAGCATCATGAAGGAGTCAAATTGCTATGGAAGTGCCCAAATGCCAACTCTCAATATTTTTTTAACCAAATTTTGTTGACCTGTCTTTTTTTTTTTTTTTTTTTTTTAATAAACGGAGAGAGAGCTTCACCTCACTCACCACCCGAGTTCCAGGCATCACACTCTCGCCCACCCCCTCCTCCCCTCTGGTCACCACCAAGTCGTGTTGCGTTTGGCCAGCGTGTTTGCTGGTGAAACCACCCCGTAAATGCCTCTCACTTTCTGAGTTACTTCACTTAGCATTATCACCTTAAGCTCTGTCATGATGCTGTAAGTCCAGATTCATCTTTTGCTAGACCTGTGGTGCGTCGACACCACAGCTGCTTTATCTAATCACCTGCTGACGGGCATTTAGTTGGTTCGGTGAGTTGGCTGTTGCAGATCGTGCTCCTGTGAGCAGAAGGTGCATCTGGGATTTTGAATTGGTGTTTTCATGTCCTTTGGATAAGTAACTAGGAGTGGCGTGGCTGGGTCATGGGTTATTACCCTTTTCGTGTTTTTATTCCCTTCTTTTCTGTTCAGTTCTCGTTGTGTCTTTTGTGCCCATCTCTTTCTCTGCCTTTAACCAGCTACTGAACTCGAGTTCTTCCAGGTCCATCATTTCCCTCCACCTGGTGTCTTCAATTACTGCTTAAAAATGGATGGCCTGTGTGTTTTCATTACCCGGGTGTCTGCTCTGACCACTGGCTGTTCTGAACATCCCCATTCAGAGGTCACCAAGGCACTTCCAGTGCAGTTTAGGTCCGCAAACAAACTTGTGACTTTTCCTAAATCTCGTCCTCCTCTAGCACTCTCTGCCTCGGTGAAGGATTTATCACCTAGCTACACAGCCAGAAGTCGGCCTGCAAGGACCTCTGTGTCTAACCAATCTCCATGTTATGAAGATTTCATCTTCTAAATACCTCTTGTGTTTACCTTGTCTGCCCTTTTTAAAAAAAAAAATTAAAAAGATTTATTTACTTATGCACACAAGAACTGGGGTACAGGCCAGAGGTGTGGGGAGTGAGAGGCGTCACCAGAAGCAGAGTGGGGACCTGAACAGGTATATCTACTGAAGCACGCTGCTGAGGGGAGCAGCAGGAGGGTCAGGAGGGGTCTGCTGCATTGTGTGGTAAGTCAGCTCCCTGGTCGGGACTTGAACTTGTGCCGCAGTGGCGATGGCCAGCTTCACAGTGCTGTGCTTTTTAACCCATTGCGCTACCAGGGAGGGCCCACCTTGTCTGCTCTTTAGACACCATATAACCGGTCTCGGTCATTGTCCACTTTGACCTCGATGACAACTGCTGCTTAGCTGGTCCCCTCCACTCCCTTTCCTGTTTATTACCCCCTGTGCTGACAGATTGAGCCCTTTGAAACATACATCAGGTCACACGTCACATTAAATCACATATGCCCCCAACCTTAAAATCTCTCTATTAGCATCTCATTCCTCAGGAGAAAGAAAATAGTCTTCATTTAGGCTCTAAGGCACTTGTTGGTCTTGAGCTTCCTTCCTGCCTCTGTGATGTCTTTGTGGGTGTTCATGGCGCACATTGGTTTCCTAACGTGGACTTGGGAAGTCCAGTGGCTTATTTACAGCCTTTTCCTGTGGTGAAAGTATTCTGCACATGACTGGTCTCACCCTGTCGTGCTGATCCTCGCTAGCTAACGTGAAAACCGTTCTCGGTTAGTCCTGGGAAGGCACCTGCCGGAGCCCACGGGCCTCTCCCTATTTCTCATAAGGTTGTGGTTCTGGTTAAGGTACATAACTTGTGCAAAGTGTTTTTATTTATTTATTTGTAGATGTATTTATTCTTGCATACAGAACTGGGATACAGGCCAGAGGTAAAGGGGCGGTGTGAGCATTCACCAGAGACAGAGTGGGGAGCAGAACAGGCAGAGTGACTGAAATACACTGCTGAGGGGAGCAGCAGGTGAGACAGGAGAGGTCTGCTGCGCTGTGTGGGCCACTCGCTGGCATGGGATTGAGCTCACGCTGAAGTGGCTGGGGGGTAAGCTTCGCAGTGCTGCACTTTAACCCACTGCGCCACCAGGGAGGGTCTGTGGAAGGTATTTTTAAAATTCCACGTTGCTTGATTTTCTCTTGATTTTGAGTCTGCTTTAGGTTATTGTCTGGGCAGAGGTTATTGTCTCTAGGAAGCCTTCCTGGGTCTCTACAGACTTCTTTGTTTTTCCATTGTAGCCATGGAAACAAAGAGGCCTTCTCTTGCCGAGGAATCCAGCTGGCTGTGGACTGGTTCAGGGACAGAGGACACACCCACATCAAAGTTTTTGTGCCGTCCTGGAGGAAAGAACCGCCGAGGTTTGATACCCCTATCAGAGGTACGTTGGAGCAGTATGTCCACCCCCTCACTGGGGAGGTGCTGCTCTGCCCTACCACAGTCACTTACCTATTTAATTATTTCTTTGATGACACTTGTCTTTCTCACGAGACTAAAGCCCCATGAAGGTCCTGACTAGAACATCATAGCCCTAGCCCCTAACACAGCGCTGGGCACATACGAAGTGACCAACAGGCAGTTGTTAAGTGAAAAAAGTATTCCATCCTTTAGTGTGAATGAGGTAGCTGCAAAAAATAATTGCATGTTACGAGTTTTAGCACTGCAGAAAGATTGGTTCTCCTCGCTCCCCTGATAGGAATTAGAATCTGAAAAAGACATTCGTTTGGACTAGTGACATTTATTTGTTATGAATACCTCAGCCAACCTCTTCATTAAAAGAGGAAAGGAGACCCAGAGAATTCGAAGAATGTTTTAAACTACAAACAACAGAGCACTGTGGTTTAATAGATGGGATTTGGGTTGTTTTTTGTTTTTATTATAACAAGAAGTCGGATGCCAAGCCATTGCTGTTATTGTTCCAGCTGCATCAGGGGTGGGATGGCAGGCTGATCTCTTGATGACCCTGGGAGATGTCTTTGACTTTTTTTTTTTTCACTAAACCATTTTGGTTTTATTTTTAAATCTATCAGTGTTTACTATTGCCTTTTCTTTTAATTTATCTCTATTTTTATTTGTTGTTTCTCTCTTTAAAATAAAATGCTGTCTTTGTCTTCTTGCTGATTTTTATATCAATATAGACTTTGAAAACATTATCTTAGTTCCACAAATCATACTTAGTTTTTCTGGGTCCTTCAAAGCACTATCTCTGATTCTCTCTCTCCCTCTCCTGGGGTCTTTGAGTTCTCTCTCTCACCTTCTTAAAAATCAGATCAGGCCCTCCCTGGTGGCGCAGCGGGTTAAAGCCCAGCACTAAGAATCTAAAGCCGCTTCCGCATGAGTTCGATTCCCGCCTGCCCCGG